GGTTCCCTGTAAAACATTAAGGTGAACAAAAACAATGACTAGCTACAACAAAAAGTAAATACGGTAATAAAAATAACTTGGGGCTAAACAGTATGTGAAGAGTTGTGTTTTGTTCTACAGATGACACATTAGCGCAATAAATTCTCAGGTAGACAGAGCATTCTATAATGCTTAAGCAGCAGTTCATCAAAACACTGTCAAATTATGAGGTTTATCTATGCAGCTCACAGATACTCCTACAAGGCAAAGAATGGGAAAACATTCTGCAACTCTCACCCAGTACAGACACCAGATAAAGTTGGTTCACTGGAGTCAGTGACCGAGAGGATGGAAACAGGTCAGTGTAAGAATAAGACAGCACTTTGAATATTCCATCTGTTGGTCAGGTCAGGTTTAATGAGCACACTTTGCAACAGGTGGACCTATAGTGTCATTTTGAATGCAAGTACCTTTCCTCCCCCCCCAAGATATCCCAGTTGTGTTTCACTTCAGAAGCTCTGACAGGAACAACTACTAGAAGAACAACTTTAATAAAGAGAAAAGTTCATATTCAAAGTGCATAAATTAACACTATTAGTTTAAAACAATAGTTTTATAAACATGCATATTGTTCCTTTATTGCAAGCAAATATTCATCTAACATTTTTCTAGGTGCAATAATGTAGCTGACGTTTTTATCCAAAGTGACTTACATTTGTACCCGTTTATACAGCCAGGAGGGTATTTTACTGGCACAATCTGACTGAAAAACTTTGCTTAAGGGTATGACAGCAGCATCCCACCTGCTTCTGCATTACCAAAAGAATGGGGGGTTGTGTCGAGCAGCATTTAAAATAGGATGGATTCCCGACCCACCTTCAGCACGAAAAGCCTCTTTAAGGTGGAGAAGCACATCAGCAAACTTGCGGACATCATTGACGAGCTGCATTATATAGTCAGGGTCCACCCCGGGATTCTCCAGGCCATCCGAGCTGGAGCTGATGCTGCTCAGGGAGTTGCTCTTGGTACCACGGCCCATTCCCCAAGTCCCCGTGCCAGCTGACAGGGGGAAGAAGTTCGAGTTTGAGAGCCGTGCAATCCCCAGGGAGCGCTTGGTGCCGCCACTGGCGCTCTGTCGCAACATCCCAACTGGTGCTCCAGAAATCCTGGCCACGTTAACAGCGGATCCCACTAGACTTCCATCCGCGAAGAGCTGCTCCTAGGGTGAATGCAAGAAGAGTTTTATCAAACGCAACACCACAATGAGAAAGAAGAAATACACTTCCTCTGCTAACCAGCTGCACAACAGACCTATCACCAAGCGGATGTTGCCAAAAAGCTTCTGCTACATAACAGCATTGGACATGGCGCAACCACAAAAAGAGCACTGTCTGGAAAAAACTAACTTACAGCTCCATAACAAAACCGCTATAGCAAGTAGTGTCGTTTTAGAAAGTTTAGGCTAAGGTATTTGAAAGCAGTCAGGATCAGAGAGATAATAAATACTGTAGAGAACTACAGCTGTGTTTCATTAACTTGGGAAGTGGAGTACGATTACAGAGCAGCTATCATCTAAACATAAAATTTGAACACGGTGACAGCTTTTAATTAACGTATCCCCACCCTTCAGACCTAAACATAAATTTGCAATTCTTTGGTGCAGAGCTGCTACAAAACAAGACAGTCAACTACCACAAAGGTACTTCCCGGCTCGCAAAAGTCATTTTGTCCTCCTGTAAAACATGTTTTGGGCATTGCACAGACGACATACTGAACCTAAAACATTTACACCCACAGCAGTGAAACTTGCACAGAGCCTTAACACAAACATGAATACAGGTCAAATGGGTTTGCTTCATTTGCAGCTTTTGTTTATATCCTCTGTTCTTGGGAGTAGTTGTTTTCACGGAACCTAACCTGGCTCCCCTGAAAGAAGGACGCCCCACAGAAGCATCACTGTCCGATTCAAATGACAAAACAATATTTTTCAAATAGTCACTCCTTGGGCCACTCAAAATTCATGTATCAGAGAATAAACCAAGAAGGAGCAGCATCAGGTGGATTTGTTATTGACAGACTGACGATAAACTGAGGTGGGTGTTCAAACCTGCTGCTGTTGGCACCCCCAGCTGACTTGTCAGCAGTCCTCTTGGCTTATGCGATGAAAGACCAGATAATATGGAGGCTTTAATGATTTTTGGGATGTTGAACACAGTAATGTTTGTGTGAGGGCTAATAAGCATAGGTTACAGTATTTTCCTGTGGATGGCTACCCAGGGGAGAGACTATGTTACTGGAAATCACTAAAAAAACTAATTGGGAACACCTGGAGGTTATGCATGCACTTTCTTTAGGAGAACAGAGATCTACAATATTTTTTAACTTTGTCGTATTGATTACCAAGTGCCAGAATCAGATCATAAATTACACCGATAATGTGAATCTACAGAATAAGAAAGAAAGCAGTAACATACACTTAAATACTTATAAAGAGCATTTTTTGGTATGTTCCTAATAGTTTGATGACCCTGACTTGCATGAAGTGGTTACAAAATGGATGGATTCTGTACTCTAAATTCAAAGTGGGTTAAGTTTATCAATTTATCTACTCAATTTACCCACAGTCGAAACGTTGAGTTTCTTTTCTTCTCTTTTCAGCATGAAATAAACCTTTGCTTGTTCCTAGGTTTATCAATGTTTTCTTCATTTGCAAATAAAATTTTCACAAAACATTGTGACACTGTGTGGTATTTCATTATTCCTTCTTGTAATATGTAGTGAAATTCAAAACATATTGTGAAAGAGTTCATACCCATTTGAAAACACAGATGCTTT